ATCAAATGAGACATATGGATAAATTATTCTTCAGTTCAGATGCAGTAAATAACATGATTATGACAATGCCAAAATCAATTTTGAGCACATTTGAATAGGAAAAGCAGCCACCATGTCTGCTGTGTAGTCAGGCTGGTGTTAAGTTTCAGTGTTCAACTGCTCAAGGTCAAGGATGAATTTTTCCCTATCGTGAGATACTGATGGCCTGAGCTTTTTCTCTTTTCTTAAATTAGTATATATTAATTTTACAAAGGATTTTATTGAGATATGTCCATACATGCTCCTCTGTTACTTTATTATTGCACTCTCTTTTAAAGCAATTTTCAATGTGCTGATGGCCTGACCCACTCAGTAACCTTGGCCATTTAGCTGGCTTTTACATTTTAGCTTTTCATCTGTAAAATGATAAGACCGAACGAACCACTTCAAGGGCTTTTCTGTTTCTAACAGTCTCTCTGCTTTTAAGCACTTTCAGTAGAGCAGGGAAAAAGCTGCTTTCTCTGGTGAGGCCCTATACTAAATCAACAATTGTTAATAAAGTTGGAATGACCTTTTAAGCAATCAGACCAGTCCATCAGTAACTAGCCATGAATAATATTGTACTTCTCAGGGACTAGATTCAGATAAAATTATACTCCTGTGGGTGACTTTGCTTAACTTGCTGACCTTAAGAGCTAGAGGAGCTTGGTGAATTTCTAAGCCATCTAACCATCTGAGAATTTCCCTGGCTCCCAACAAAGAACTGTTGAAAAGAAATGATCTTGTTGGTTATGATCCCAAAGATTCATTATGGTATGACTTGAACGTTTTCACCCTAAGAGGAGCTTTGAATGCCAAGAGTAGTTCACTTTGAATTCCGTGAAAGCTTTCATTTGGGGACATTGTCACAAAGAAGTTGAAATTTGGGGTCAGGGAAAGCTGTTCTTGAATCCTGGTTCTGCCATGTACTTGACTTACTCCAATCTCTTCTGATGATGTTTCATTCCAAAATGAGGATCATAGTTGTGCCTTTCTCAAAGGTCTGGGAGGACTAGGGGGTAGAGATGGAGAGAAAGGGATGTGCTTCAAAAATCAGATTTTTTTAAAATTAGATTTGTATTATCTTTAAGTAGTCATACAAAGGGGTTACCATTCAAGGTGTCAGTTGATGAGTACAATCAATGCATCTTGATCCATAGTACCACCTTCATCGCTCTTCCCTATCCTTCCCAATCCCACCCTTTCCTTGTTTCATAGGATATGACTGCATTCTCCTCCCTTCTCTCGCCATTTGTCTATCCCTCTGCCATTGCCCTCCCCATTAAGAGTGAACCTAAGGAAGTTAGGTTTTGTTGTCACTATTTGTCTGTCAGCATCCAGAGGAATGCCATGGAGAGAGACCAATTAGTGACCCTGTATAAGTGTCCTCACTGGGGCTTGGAGGGAAGAAAGTGCTCAAACAACACAACTCCAGCAGGGGAACTTAGCCTCGAGGGTAAAGTAATTATGTAATCAGTGTATCTTAGCCCAGAAGTCAAGAACTTAACCTTCCTGCCACAGACAACAGCATTCAGGATACATGTAAAATTTGAGCAGAAGTATTTATCTGCCTTTTTTTCATATGCCACATATATTAGGTAGAATATGGTAAAATAACCCTTTTCAGGTGTATAGTTCTGTATGTTTTGACAAATGCAGTTATGTAACCAACACCATATTCAGGACAGAATGTTTTCCTCGCCCCCAAACCTTTTCTGCCCAACTCCCATAGCAACAGCACATGCTGCTGCGTCTTGGTCTAAAAGAACCCACTTGGTGGAATTTTTAACGTTTTTCTAGAAAGCATGTTCTGTCCTTGGAAGCTGTCATGAACTATTCCTGCAGGACTCTGGCTCCAGTCAGGGAATCTGAATCATTCATTAATCATTCAGCAGAGATTTATGGAGCTCTTCTGTGCAACCTGCCATAGGCATGTGCTGTGAAGGACACAGAAAGTTCTGATGCTAGCTCTCAGCTCTCAGGAGCCATAATTGGGTGATAGACATAAATAAGCTTAATGAGAATATGCAGAGTCAACAACAAACACAAGGTAGAAAGTCAAGAATACCATAAGGTTGTGTCAACTGTTCTGTTTGGTCTGAGTCCCCAGACAGGGAGAGGCCTCAGAAGACAAACATGCCGGTCTGTGCCACGGGGTCTCAAAAAAAAAAACCTCTCACCTCCTTTCCCTCAGCTGGAAAAATTAACTTCTCCTCCTCAACTTCCTTCTTGTGGCTCCCCCTTCTTACTTTCTCCTTCCTTTTTAATTTTCTTTTCACTTTTTCACTGCCTTCAGTTTACTCCCTGGATTATTATGAGCTGGCTTCTTGCCACTAGATTTCTTACAGACCCATCCTTGACTCCACTGATTGCCCCTGCCCCTCATAGTACTGGGTAACAGTGTCTGTGCCAAACAAGTATTCCACAGATCTGCTAGCTGAATAACTGAGCTGGGCATTGTGGGGGAAACAAGTGTGGGACAGAATCCCTGGGCAGAACAAAAAAGGTAACCTGAGCTGCCATCTTGTTTATAGCTTGATGTCTTGCTGTCAAAGGAGGGACAGTTGCAAAAGAGAAAGTTTTGGAGTATTCGAAGTTAAACTGGCTTTAAGTTTGTGTACAGTCTTCATCATACCTTATTGTGTAGAGTATTTCTTGGATCCCTCCCTCCAAACAATGCTTTTGGTTCTGTCTCTACCACCAAGTGCTTCTTAGAATGTGGGCTAAGATAGGATGGTGTTTTGCTTTTCTGCTGTTTTATTTACTTGGGAGGGGCAGAAGAAACTTGAGAGAGGTAAATTCCAGCACTCAGTCTGAGTCAAATGAACTGCATAATTGATACCTTTATACTCAAATGGGATAGTCCAAAGGATGAAATAAGAATTTGGGAGTCTGCCTGCCATATATAGCAAGACTTCTTTCTCTTTAATTACATCTCTGCCAGGAAAATCTAAACAGGATCCAATTTCTCTTCCATTCTGTGTGCTGTGGCTTTGTGAACTTTTTCAAATCACGTTCTCAATCTCCTTTCTCACATCTTCTGTGCCTCCCTTTCTTTATAAAATAGCCTATATTCTTACCCCTGTCCAAAACTTTCCCTAATTAGAAATCAGATAATATCCTGATCATCTCTAAAAGCAATTAAAACAAGAGCTTGCTTATAAAAAAAAAGTTCTTCAGCAAATGAGATACTTTAAGTAACAGAAGAGCCCATTCATGTTAGCTGATCTGTCAAGAAACCTGTCAGGTAAATACAAGAACACAGAGCATGCCTAGAACTCATGCTTTGCAAATACAGATAAGTCATCTTACCTCTGTTACAGAGTTTCTTTATTGATATCAGGATAAGGATGGTGTCCCTGTCTTTCTCAAGTGTTGAAATATTAAAATAACTTACACATGTGTGGGTGTAGCATTGACTAAAGTGGCAAAGTACCACATCAGGAATGTATCTTTCAATCAACTGTGCCAAGTCAGTTCTGTTTGAAATTAGGACAATGCATTAGGGACATTGCACTTTTAGAAAACAGGGAAATAGTGTTTTTTACCTAGACTGCAAGAAGATGCAGGCATTAGATTCTCTGGGCTAGTTAGAATACAAAATATTTAGCCACTCCAGTAAATTTGGCAAATCTTGTAGAACTAAACACATAATTCTAATATAAGCTAGCAATTTCACTCTTGGGTGTTTCCCCCTGAGAAATAGAAACTTATATTCACCCAGAACATAAACACAAACATTCATAGCAGTCTTTATGCAACCCCAAATAACCTTTAACTGGTGAATAATTAAATAGATGGATACAGCCATACCATGGAATACCACTCAACAATTAAAAAAGAATGAACTGTTAATTCACACAACTTGGGTGACTTTTCAGGGAATTAGGCTGAATGGAAAAAGGTAATCCAAATGGTTACTATATGAAGCCATTTATGTAACTTTCAGAAATTAGAAAAGTTAAAGCAACAAGGGACAGGCGAATGGCTACCGGGGTAGGAACAAAGAGGTGGGTTGGTGGATGTAGTTATTTAAGATGATAGAAGTACTCAGTAGTTCGATCGACTATGGTGATAGGTATAGGTCCGTGAAACAAGGTGATAAAATAGCGAAGATAAAATTGCACACAGGCATATAATGGGAGTACAAGTAAAACGGAAGAAATCTAAACAAGATGGCAGATTGTTGTCAGTGTCAACATTGGACTCTACTTTTGCAAGATGTTAGAGGAAACAGTAAAGACCACACTGATCTCTATTATTTCTTAAAACACTGAGATTATATGCAGTTGTCTTAAGATAAAAAGGTTGAATTTTAAAAATATGGCTACTTCGAAGTCAGATTGATCAGAATTCATGTTATCAGTGCCTGGGCACTTAATACTACTAATGATTATTAGAAGTGGATTACATTGTTCTGACGTTTTGGACAATTAATTGTATTCAGAACAGGAAGAAGACTATGACTAGAGCCCCTCCCATGTGAGCAGTGACACGGTGGAGTGGGTTTTTATGTCTTTTCCTTCACATTAAGGTTTGATAAAAATCTCTCTGGACCACAGAACTAAGAAAAATAACCTTCCTTCAGAGCAGGAGCAAAGCACAGAAATAGGTCAAGTTCAAAGCACTGACATCTTTACCCTGAGGCTAGCTAGGTACAGTGCAGCCTGTAGCCATTAGCTGTGACTAGGTTGAGTTTGAAACTTTGCTGAGCAGAGCAGGACAGTGTCGCATGGACATGCCCCTAGCAGGCATGCTGGGGACACACTCAGGGAGCTAGGCTATTAGCAGGCTGCTTCTCTGGAGACAGGAATCCAGATTTCAGGCTTATTTTTCAGCTTCCTGGCAGGTAATGTGTGACCATGAGGAAATCTGACTCCTGAATGTCAGCTTATTTCTGTTGGAGATGGTTTTTCTTGAGAATGTATGCTAGAATTATGATGTCAGTTCTTACGGACATTATGGCTTACTTTTCTTTGCAGTTGTAGGACAGTCCCATCTGGATAGCAACATTGAGGACCCAGAGATTGTCACTAACCCACCAGACATTTGCCAAGTAGTAGAGGTGACCACTGAGAGTGATGATCAGCCAGTCAGCATGAGTGAGCTCTACCCTCTGCAGATCTCCCCCGTGTCTTCCTATGCAGGTAAGTGGGCAGGCGGGCAGCTTGGGGACTCAGTGGGGAATGAGACAGTGCAGTCCTTTAATCTGGCATCTTCTTGTTTCACTATACAACAGAAAAATCTCTCCTGTCTCAGGAATAATTCTTGCTGGAGTTAATTCTGTTTTTCAGTGTGTGGGCTTTGTTTGGTTTTGTACCAGGGCTTGAACTCTGAGCCCTGCATCCTTGCTTACCTTTTTAATTCATGGCTGGCACTTTACCACTTGAGTCACATCTCTACTTCCAACTTTTTGTTGGTTAATTGGAGATGAAATTCTTGAGGATTTGTCTTCCTTGGCTGGCTCTAAACCATGCTTCTTACATCTCAGTCTCTAGAGTAACTAAGATTACAGATGTGAGCCGTCAGCACTTGCTAGCATTATTTTTTACTTTTGGTTGTTTTGTTTTTGTTTTTGTTTTTGTCACTGTGTGGACTGAACTCGAGGCCTGGGCACTGTCCCTGATCTCTTTAGCTCAAAGCTAGTACCCCACCACTTTGATCCATAGCACCACTTCCAGTTTTATGGTAGTTAGTTGGAGATAAATGTCTCACAGGCTTTTCTGCCTGGGCTGGCTTTGAACCAGGATCCTCAGATCTCAGCCTCCTGAGTAGCTAGGATTAGGATTGCAGGCATGAGCCCTCAGGACCCAGCAACTCTTGCTTTCTTAATCAACCTTTTTAGTTTTAATACTTCTTCTTTAGAAGACATGGTGACAGCATTTATTTACTTGATCACTCATAACAATTTCACTTGTGATTGGGAGCAGTAGCTCATTCGAGTGGGGTTTGTGTGAATTGACAGATTTTTCAGTAGTATTCAGCGGAATTTCAGTATGCTTAAGGTAAATGGGACTTTAGAAATCATTTCTTCCAGAGCGTTCTCTTTTAGAAATAGAGAGTTTTCGCTTGAGGTCATACAACCAGGAAATTTATAGTACAGAACTTTGTACCCTCAAGATCATTGCTTAGATCCTTCTATTTCACTCTACCGGGCTGATGTGTCACCTCCGTGTATTTTCTCCCTTCCTTTCTATTTAGTGCAGCTTCTAACTGGGCCAGGCAGGCTACTGAGCCCATTTCTAATTCCTCAAGGAATTGGTCCAGCCAGCACTACAAAGGATTAAAATTATTCCGAAGATGATAATTCCTTGCTTCACCTCCAGTTGCATCATCTTATACTCTCTCCAGGATGATCCCCATTTAATTTTTTGGAACTCAATCATAATTAGGAAAGGTAAATTCTGAGTCAGTATTCATGCTTGTAAATATTCAAACTAAAAGGCTGAGACCCTCACAGGGGAAACTACAGCTTACTCTTAGCTGATGGCTCAGGGATTCTTCCCGTGTTCTTCACACAGTCCAAAACAGAATGTCCTCCCAGAGGGTGCCACCCTGCCTCTGGCACAGAATCCACGTGACCATTAAAGTTGATTCACATGAATGGTTGTTTGTGAGTTTTCAGCTGCTAAATTAACCTCATAGTCCTTAATGCCAACTTTTTTTTCTTTTTTTAAACTGAGCTTCAAAGAATATTGAACATAAAAACTGTCATCTGTGGGGCTGGGAATGTGGCTTAGTGGTAGAGTGCTTGCCTAGCATGCATGAAGCCCTGGGTTCTATTCCCCAGTACCACATGAACAGAAAAAGACAGAAGTGTTGCTGTGGCTCAAGTGGTAGAGTGCTAGCCTTGAGAAAAAGAAGCTGAAGGACAGTGACCAGGCCCTGAGTTCAAGCCCCAGGACTGGCAAAAAAAATAAATTTGTCATCTGTAAGTGTTATTAAGTGCATTTGTGTTGCTGTGTAGCCATCATCACCATCCATCTCCAAAATGCTTCTCATCTTGTAAAACTGAAATTCTATTCATTAGAAACTAATTCTCCATTTCCCTCTCCACCCCAGTCCTTGGCAGTCACTGCTGTACTTTCTGTCTTGGTGAATTTGGTTTCTCCAGGTAGCTTTGTAGAACTATACAATTCTTTGTCCTTTTGCAACTGGCTTATGTCATTTAGCATACATCTTAACATAAAAGGAATGTGAGAACAAATCTTGGCTACTGAAAACTTACAATCACCTTCTTATATATCAGACTACCTTCTTATACATCAGACTGATATCTGCCAGTCTGGCTTTGATCTTAGCGGATTTTTAATAGCTATATTATTTGTTACTTGTGTCTTGGTAGCTATACTAAATGCCTAGTATGGATTGACTTGCTTAATTTTCAATTTTCCTCTTTAAAAATGAGGAAGCTTCCAAATGTGGATGACTCATACCTGTAATCTTAGCTACTCAAGAGGCTGAGATCTGAGGATCACAGTTCTAAGCCAGCTTGGGCAGGAAAGTCTGTGAGACTTTTGTTTTAATTTTAATTTTATTGTACAGAGGGGTTATAGTTACATAAGTGAGTACATTTCTTGTTACCCCCTCCCCAATTTTTCTCCCACTTTTTCTCCTCCCCAATCTCCCTTCCCCCCAATTTGTAGAGATCTGTGAGACTCTTAGTACCAATAAACTACTCAGAAAAAGCTAGAAGTAGCACTCTGGCTCAAGTGGTAGAGTGGTAGCCTTGAAAAAAAAAATCTCAAGGATAGCACCCAAGCTCTGAGTTCAAGCACCAGGACTGGCACCAGATAAATAAATAAATAAATAAATAAATAAATAAATAAATAAATAAATGAGGAAACTGAGGCTGATGTGGATAAAATGATTTGTCCAAGGCTGTAGAGCTGGCAGCACAGGTAGTATTTGTTGATGCTGATGCCAAAGGTCTGTTTTTAACCATCATGGCAGTGCTGCCCTGGCCACATGAGTCTGAATTTTGTGTCCCATTTACTTTTTACAAAGATCCACCAAGAAGGAAGACCAGAAAGCTCATGCTGTAGCTTCCCAATGGAGATAACTGGAGGAAGAAACACTAAATTATGTTGCTTCCATTTGTATAGCTACAGCTAAAAGTTAGTTGCTTTCTTCTATGACTTGTTACATGTTACAATGTTATAATGCTGGCATTATCATGCTCTGTGGGGTGGTGCTTTAGAGTACACTTTTATGTTAATCTATTTAGCAAAACTTTCTTGAAGTCTTCTTGGTGATTCTGTCAAGATCTCTTTCTGTTTTTGCCAGCAGTGTCATTTTTCTGTAGGAGAAGCATCCCAAGAACAGATGATCCATGCAGAGAGAAATGAAAATTTCATTACCCTTTTCAGGACATCTGCATAGATTTCAAAAAAGGGATTTCAATGCCAAAGATGGCAGGCAGCAGGAGGTTTTGTTGGAGCTTAGTTTTGTAGCCTGACCTTTGGTTCTTTCCATTGTTTTCATTGTATAAATTCTTCAGAATCTTCAGGAGTAGTAGAGACTGAGCTGAGTTATTCTATCATTGCTCCTTTTCTAGAGCTTACAGACGCACAAGAAATTTGTTCCTGCCCAGGGCTATTGTTTCAGTAAGGAATTTTGTAACATTCTGCTAGGAAGGACAGCTTTCTGAGTCATGTTACTTGTTTTATGTTTCTCAGTGTAATAGGTTGTTGGTTCGTGACAGACTTCCTTTGTTCAGTTTTACTCATTTCTTCTAGCCACCTTCATTCTCTTGTTCAAGGAACTGCTGTTTGGAGGCTGTTTGCTATTATTGAACTATAATCCCAGTAGTATTACAAAACTACATTCACTTTTACAAATCCATCTTCTCCTCTGGTCTAAATGCAATGGTGAGAAAGAGACCATTTCTTTTTCTTTAAATTTTGTTATTTTTATTATAGAGGTGATGTACTGAGGGATTACAGTTACATAAGTCTAGTAAGGGGTATATTTCTTTTTGGACAGTGTCACCCCTTCCCTTGCTCTCTCCCAGTTTTCTCTCCCATTCCCACCCACAAGTTGTGTAGTTCATTTTCAGCATTTTTTGCTGCATTATTCACCCTTTGTCCCTCCACCTCTGTGCCTCCCCTTACATTTTCAAAGACATATAAAGGAACAAACAGAAGAGAGAGACAATTTCTTTGTTGAATTTGTTGTTGTTGTTGTTGTTTGTGTGTATGGGGGGGGATCATGGGACCTGAACTCTGGGCCTGAGTGCTTTCCCTCAGCTTTTCAGCTCAAGACTAGCACTCTACCCCTTGAGCCACTGGGCCACTTCCAGCTTTTTCTGCCTATGTGGTGCTGAGGAATCGACCCCAGGGCTTCATGCATGCAAGCCAAGCACTCTGCCACTGAGCCACCTTCCCAGCCCCTGTTGAATATTTTAAGACAATATCAAATTCTAGTTATCTTTGTAAAATTTTTGTACTGGGGAGGGATATATGAAGGCCTAACCTGCGGAAGCACTAGGGAATAGTCATTTTGATTAATTTTTTGTTTGCAAGGTTTGGGCTTGAATCCACCACTTCTTGCATATTAGGCAAGTACTACCATTAAGCTATACTGCAGCCTTCATTTTGTTTTTCAAGGTCTACCATGAAGCAGCTGCTTGCCTGATCGTTGATGGCTTGCAGTAGTATTTTTAGGAAGAGGAGGTAGAGAATGATTTTGAGAAGAAAGCATAATGCATAGGCCAACTGGTTAGAATCAAGAAAGTGGACACTACTTCCCAACTAGCAGTGAAGACCTTTGAGTTCTTTGCCGAAATCATATCAGGTATACATATATTGGAGTAGGACAAAGAGACATTACCTTTGAGACTAAGTTTAGTCTTCAAATGAAAATAATTGAGGAAATGATTCCTGGAAAAGAGTCTCTATTGCTCTTGTTTTGTTGGACTAGAAGGTTCCAGAAAATACGCCAAACATCATTTAGTGCAAACATGCTGTACATAAAATACATCATCCCTCTCCCACAACAATAGATATGGCAGTATATATCCCCAAGGAATTATTTTAAAAACTGAGATGAGATGGATTATGAAGTTAAAACCAGCAGCATCCTAGGATCTGGACTGCTGTGGAAAAATATGTGACGCCATCTGACCCAAATCACTCTCTTCCCTCACCCCAGTTGTTTGCAGGAAAACAGACAAGAAAGGCTAACCAAATTACTCATCTACCTGTTATGTGAGTAACAGTTAAGTGTCTAAACATTTTCAGTTTATACATAGCATGCTTGTAAGGCAACTCCCTTTTTTTCCCTTTTTAAACTCCAGCATGTCCAAAGTTAGTTAAAAAACAAATAAAAAAAACCAAGCTAATCAGAAGGGAAAATGAAATGAGAACACAGGTCAATATTTGTGCTGTAATATTGATCTGAAAGGAGCATCTGCAGTGAACTGGTTAGTCATGTAACAAGTCACCCCTGCCATGGGAATGGTAGAATACAACTCAAAGAACAAGAGTGGAGCTCTGAGCCGACCATTTGGGAGAGAATGGCTGTGGGAACTTGCATTTGTCTAAAGGGTAGAGTGGTTGGGAGTCCTCAGAGAGCCTTGGGCATCTCCAACTCCCAGGCTGCAGGTTGTAAAGGCCATTTAAAAATAATAAAATAAAATCATAGTGTATTAGCCAATTTTCCTATTCTGTGACAGAATATCAGAAATAAAGGGAAAAGGGGTTATTTTGGTTCATGGTATCATAGGCTTCCTTTCATGGTTGCTTGGCTCCATCCCTTTGGGTCTTTGACAAGGATGAGCATCATAGTGAGAACAATACTGCTCATATAATGGCAGCCCATAAACAGAGAGAAAAAGGAAGAGCCCTGGGGGGGGGGGGGTCTCCTCACGTGTAAGGTCACGACCTCCAGTGGCTTCACTTTCGTTTACTAAGCCTCACATCCTAAAGTTTCCGATCCCTGCCCCAACCATCATCTGGAAACCTAGTGTTCAACACATGAGTCTCTGGGAGACATCTAAGATCCAAACTATCATACCCCATTGCAGGTGTACATTCTTTATAACTATTTCAAAAGCAGTTATCTTCATTTAGAAATATTGTTCCTCCACCAGCATTTGTGTTAGCTGGACACCTAAGTTCAGCATGCGTGTATCATCTCTTGTCTACTTTTTCCTTATGTTAAAAATTGGTACTTAGACGAAATACCTTTCTTACTATCTTTGTGGTCTGTGAAAGGTCTTTAACCCAGAGGCCGGCTTCCAAACCTACCAAGCAAGTACCACTTGGGTTTGGTGGAATCCTAGAATCTTGATGTCAACGGCTCTTTCTCCTGAATCTGCAGCCCCCCCAAATCATGCCTAGTGGCAGTTGTTTGCAGATGACCATGGTATTTATAGAAGGCCCATTAGGTGTGGAAAGGGGCTTGGCATGTGCAGAAGGAAGAGGAACTTGGCTTCAGAGCACAAACAAAGCTAATAAAAATGGAAAGGGGATCTTGAAGTTTGGCCAGCGGAAGAGCCAGCGGGGAAGCAGAGTCGTTTTGTTCTGTGTGGGTCCCTGGAATCAGAACAGTTTTTTTTTTCTCCATCATGCTGACTCAGAATGTGACTTTGGCAAGTTTCTCAACATCTCTGTTCCTCTTTATTTCTTCTTCTTCTTCTTGGAAGTGGCAGTCCTGCCTTCTGCCTCCTGCCCTCCTGCCCTCAGGAGACTGATCTATGGTTGGGGTTTGCAGAGATGTTTCCTTTTCTGTTGTGTTTAGGTTGTTTTCTGTATGGAAACATGGCTGCGCCTAGCATTGTCACTTTGTCTTCATAACTTGGCTTGCCAGCAGGTCTAAGCCAGGGCCTTTCTTGGGCATTTATGGCTCCCAGCTGGGTATGCTATGGTGAAATACACTTGACAAGAGGACTGTCCTTCAGCTGCTTGTGGCCAGTCCTCACTGACCACCCACTGTGTGAAGCCCTTGGGGAAGAGTGGCTACATGTAGAACACTCCCAGGTGGAGCCTGTGGAGTCGCCATGCGTGCAGGTTGTTTAAGGAGCACACAGTCTTTCCACCTGTTGCCTTTACTTTACAAGGAGCTCTGGTTGGAGGAAAGGACTCTGTCTGGCCTGCAGCCATCTCAGTTCTACCTCCAGGAAGATGCGAGACTGGAAGCCAGTCTCTCATGAGGGGCAGGGTGGAAAAAGGTAGAAGGCTCTAGAGCATACTAGCTTTGCTGCATAGGAAGGGTAATAATAGATGCTTTTCAACTTAACATCCTTGTGAGGGCTAAACAAAGACCTATGTACAAAGGCTGTGAGTCAGCCGAGCTCACAGAACACTGCAAATGTCCACAGTTCTTGCCTGTGTGCAGGCTTTGTCTCTAAAATAAATGACGCAGATGACATGAGCTCCGAGAGCCTACATATTTTAGTTTCTCTCTTCTAGGAATTCATTTTGCAATGGCTATGAACACGGAGAAACTGTGTCCTTTCCATTTTCTTATTTTAAGAAGTAAATTTCTGCTCTTTAAAAAACCCTTTTATTGTAGGTACAGATGCTGTATAACCATTAACTGTTGATTTTGACTCATTAATCCAGCCTGTCATACAAGTCCAATGTCAAAGAATGATGATTACTTCGTATGCTGTTTGCTGCTAGACCACATGCTAGGCCTTTCCAAACACCCTCTCACTTTACTCATCACATAACGCCCTTTGGAAGATGGTAGTTAACACCCTCATCTTTTCTGAAAGGAAAAGTATAGCTAGTGCTGTTAAGAAACCTACTCTGTCTCTCCACTGGCAGGCAGAATCAGGATGGCAACTGATTAGCTGTTTATTGCTGCCTAACAATGGAGCCCCAGTTAATGGCTTAAGATAATACACATTTATTTATTCTAACCCACATAGCTTCTGGGGGGTTGGAGTCCAGCTGCCGAAGTCTCCCTAAGTTCCAATCAAAGTGTTGGCTAGGACTGCATTTCATCTGAGGCTCCACTGGGGAAAGATCCAATTCCAGGCTCACATAGTTTTGGTCAGAATTTAGTTCCTTACAAGTTGTTAAATTGAGATCTTAAGTTTCTTCTTGGCTTTTGCCTGGAAGCAGCCATTGGTTTTTTGCCATGTGAGCCTTCCTAACATGACCAGCCAACAACAAAGTCTCTTCCAAAGACAGTTTCCATCTTATGTGACATGATCATAGACATGTAATGTTTACATCCTAGCATTCCATGATCCTTGCCATATTCTCTTCACTAAAGGAATATCTTACCCCCATTTAAGAGGAGGGATTTCCAGAGAAAGTGAGCATTAAGTGAGCACTTTGGAAGCTACTCTAAAATCTGGCCACCCATAGCATCCCAGATAGAAGATGCACTCGGATACTAATAGGATGGGATGTAAAGAAAACTTTGAGGGATTGGAATAATTGAGGAAGACATCTTGGAAAACGTCCATTCTGAGTTGGGATTTCCATACAGTGGTTGTCATGGACCAAAAGAGTATATGTGTGGGCACTGTGGGTAGAGCTGAGGGAGGAAAGGGCACCTCACTGGAAGGCCATGACTAAACATAGCCTTGAAATGCCAGCCTACCCTCAAATCTTGTAGGGGGAGGAGAAAGGGGTTAGCAACAGAATTCAGAATCACTCTAGCTTCTTCAGTGTACAAATTTGACCTTATAAGGAGGGGGGGATGTGCTTAATTACCCGTTTCAGAAGTATGGATATAGCTTTCCTAAAATGCTGCATGCACCCCAGATTATCTGGAGGGATGGGAATGATGGCCCTGTCTTCTCTCTATGAACAGAAAGCGAAACTACGGATAGTGTGCCCAGTGACGACGAGAGCGCCGAGGTAAGCCTGCTTCTTTACCTGCCTATGCTTTTAATCGTGAGTTTCACTTTTAGATTTCTTTGTGTAGAGTAAAATGTCTATAACCTAAAAGTTATCACACTTCTGGATTGTGTTGAGCACTGAATGGCAGGAAAGGGAATAAATTGTCACGCGCAGAAAGAAAGGCTATGATAGCAGGAAGAGGAAACTGAAGTTTCAGCCAGGAAAAGCTGGTGTTTTTACCACTGTAAACATCCTAATTCACTAGCAGAAATAGAACAGCCTGCATGGCTGAAAGCAATGACCAGAAGTAAACATCACAAAGTGCTAAACAGAATTATTTCCACATATACATGGTCCCTCTCCCTCCGTGATCTTGCCCAGGGGCTGGTATGTATGTCTAGTCTCGGTTCTCAATCTGCCTGCTTCCAGCTTCCCTCCTGTAGGGTCACACAATAGTCGGAAATGGCTCTGTGATGGTGATGGGAATAGAAGAGAGAAAGATGGAGATAGAAGCTAATGGTAGTCTGAACTGGTGCTACCTCAATGTACCCGTCACTTAGGAGTGAAGAGCAGGAATTCTGGAAAGGCACTAGGGATCCATGCTTATATGAATTCCAGTCTGGATTCTTCCAGGTCAGAGATCTAGCTCCTTCTCTGGATGGCGACCCTTGAGGATCTTTAGTCTGTACCTGTGTAAAAGCAATCAAGGGCCATTCATGGTTCCTAAAGCCCCTCGCTTTCCTCCCTTTAAAAATGCAGAAGAAGCAAATCAGAAATCAGTAGTCCAGAAGCAAGTCACCATGACGGATTGTCTGTCATGGCTGGAAACCTACACTAGGAATGGTCAGCTGGGTAGCCAGGCCACAGGAGAGCCAGAATCTACCTACTTTCCTTGTCATATTTCTGGGAGCTAGTAAATGCAAATTGTTTTTTTTTTAATGGAATAGAAACCATTGCTTGGGATCTGAATTAGGTGGATGTAGATTTCCGTTGAAAGATGTAGAAATGCTAAACTTGTTCATTCCATGAAAAAGAATTGAATTCAAACAGCCACACACAAGGACAGTTGTTGCATTTCCAGAAATCCATTCAGTGATTCTTTTCCTTGAAAGGGGAGACCACACTGGCGGAAGAGGAACATTGAAGGCAAACAGTACCTCAGCAACATGGGGACAAGGAGTACTTACCTGCTGCCCGGTATGGCGACCTTTGTCACTTCCAACAAGCCAGATCTGCAGGTCACCATCAAGGAGGAGAGTTGTCCGGTGCCTTACAACAGCTCCTGGCCCCCATTCACAGACCTCCCTATCTCTGCCTCTGTGTCCCCTGCACCTAGCAGCAGTCGGCCTGACCGGGAAACCCGGGCCAGTGTCATCAAGAAAACATCGGATATCACCCAGGCCCGAGTCAAGAGCTATTAAGCCTTTGACTGTCCCTGGTGGTTGTTGGGGTTTCTTGGCTTTGTGTTGTTGTTTGTTTGTATTTTATTTTTCTCTTTGACACCTATTTTAGACAAATCTAAGGGGGAAAAAAAAAAAAACCTTGACAATAGAACATTGATTGCTGTGTCCAACTCCAGTACTGGAGCTTCTTTTTAACTCAGGACTCCAGCCCTTTGGTAGACACATATCTCTAGAACCTGCTGGATCGCCCAGGGCTACTCCCTCAAGTTCAAGGACCAACAGCCACACGGGCAGTGAAGGTGCTGCATTGCCTACGGTCAAGGCCAGCATGGTGGAGTGGATGGCCTCAGAATGGACGAGAAAATGTGAACTAGCTGGAATTTTTTATTCTTGTGAATATGTATATAGGGCAGTACTAGCAACATTGCAGTCTGCTTCTGCACCTTATCTTAAAGCACTTACGATAGGCCTTCTTGTGATCTTGCTCTATTTTACATTCAGCCGTCCCCTTCTGTGCCCATTACCCCACCTCCCAACGATCCCACCCAGTCCATTCCTCCTTTTCCTCCCCTCAAGGCTGCGTTGCACATCCTGGAGGAGGGGAAGAAGAAAACTTCTCCACAGATGTCCCATTTTAAGACTGCTTTAAAAAAAAAATCTCTAATCTGCTATGCTTGAATGCCACGCGGTACAAAGGAAAACTATCATGGAAAGAAATAGTGTGCAAATTCCCAGATTTTCAAGACAAAAATACTCTAATTCTAACCAGAGCAAGCTTTTTTTATTTTTTATACAGGGGAATATTTTATTCAAGGTAAAAAAAAATTCTAAATAAAATATAATTGTTTTTTATCTTTTCTACAGCAAATTTATAATTTTAAGATTCCTTTTCTTGTTTATCAGCAGTTGTATTACATCCTTGTGGCACATTTTTTTTAATTTTGTAAAGGTGGGAAAAAAAAGCTTTTATGAGCTCATGTAGCAATCAAATTATCCTGTGGATTGATAATAAATGAATATGATATATAGTTAAATTTTTAACGGGCATCACTCCTGGCTTTGTCTGTGTCTACATAGGGTACAATGGTAGGACAAGGCTTCCAAAGTATCATCTGTGCTTAGAGACCAAAATGTTTTCCCTCGTTGGCCACAAGAAAGCCTCTTGCTAGGAGGCTACAGGATGCTCTAGCACTTGACGACTTGTGTCATAAGCTCCCAAAGACCCTGTGCTGCCTATCTTCCTTTGCTCATCAATTGTGCTCAGAATGGGGATTTGTCTCCATGACACCTTTTTCCCAGGTCACCTGAATTATAAAGTTCAAGGGCATGAGTGGAGCTGTGTCTGGTATGACTCTGAAGCACATCTGTTTATGTGCTCCATGGCTTTCTTCTGTGAACAGATTCCACCCACATCTGTTTTTCCTGTTCTCATCCTTAGACATCTATGGGTAACTGAAGTTTGGTGTCGATGGCACATTCTAGATGCCCAGATAAGACATTTTCAATAACAAGAAAGAGTTGGATTCAGACTCCCTGTCAGTCACTCTTAGATCCAGGCCTTGCCCTCAAAATATAGCCCATGTCTTTTAGAGCAACCAAAATGACTTAAAGACTACTGTCTCTATTACCCACTCGGTAACCAGGTATAGCTTTGACCTTGAAAAAGCCACTCCCCTAACCCTCATGCTTCCTGTGAGTACTAGAATACCAGCTGCCCACCTCCCACCTATGAACAGTTGTAAACAGGTTGTTAAGTTAATGTTTGAAAAGGTTCCTTTGATTTATGAAAGGACAAAGGCCTGTTTTTATTACTATCTTTTCACGTCTGGCTATAGATGTAATTGGTGGTCATAAAATTATCCACCCTGAACAGAAGTCAACTGCTGTGTCTTACTAGTTGTTGTGTAGTGTGGGATGCCCCGTTAAGATGGCTGACTGCTTCTGTAGGAGATGTCCTATTGATTCCTTAGTGAAAGGAAAAGTCCTGAGGTCTCAAGTAGACAGGAGGAAGAAAAATGAGATGGACTCAATCCCGGAATATGTTGCTACTTAGAAGTACTTAAGATGCGTTGGGAATACGTGCTCTCCTGATTGGCATCTGTGTGAGCTGATAACAGTTTTATGATGGGTTTGGTTGTGTGTGTTTTAAGTAGCAAGTTCAGTATAATTGCCCTTGGTACAATAGTTCCATTCTCTGCAAGTAGTTGACCTAAGCCACTCCCTTGATAAGAAAGCTGGCTATGGCTATGTCGGTTGTGCATTGTGTCTACTGTCACTTTTGCTCAGCTGTCAGGTTGGAAGGATCCAGCATACCTTGATGCCCCCTAGCTTCCAAAACTCCATTTGCAAGTCTAAAAAAATCCATACTCAACCATGGCATCTTTGTTTCATGCCTAGATGGAAGTTCCTGCTGAAGGTGATGTTAAACTCTTTAAAATGTATTTGTAGTGAGGAAATATGCATGGATTTATACCAATTCTTTAGACATCAAAATCTTAATATCCCCCTTTTTTGTTGTTGTTGTTTTCCCAAGTTTTGTACACTTAGTGGCCACTACTGAGACAGAAATTTTCGGGATGAAAAAGATTAGTGATTTAGCTTCAAGATGTCTAGTTTTCCTACTTGTGCTTTGAGAAGTATTTTGCATGTGGGTGAAAAAAATACTGAGCCCCTAACTGGCCTCCCATTCCTAAATCCAAAAGATGAAACAGCCCCTCCTGTTCGCTGGAGGCTGCAGTCTCAGAGCTGAATTCATTAGGTTTCAAAAGCTCCCTGTTATTTTAGCTTTGAACAGACTGACCCAGATAAAAGGTGAAAATAAGAACTCCAGTCCTCTGCCAATTTTCTGCTGAAGACAGACAAAAAGCTGCGAGAAAGGTTGACAAACTGAGCGCCAAGGTGGGTGTTTGGCATGCAGAGTAGAGGGTAGGGTGGAGGCGGTGGGGGCGGGGGGATCGCCAATGTCTCAGTACCCGTTTCAGTTTGGAAAAGAATGGCGACAGAAACTGGTTTGGTCAGTGATGTCCAGCCAACTACCTCATCCTGAAACTCCCATCCTGTGGCACACCCAGGACCATTGGATGGGAAGCTGAGCTGCCAAAGGACCTGGGAGCGGCTCCCACTGTATCCAGGCTACAGGAGATCTCTCCCCATGGTTCATACTAGCAAACTTCTTGAAACGATGTCCTAATCCCATTCATACCCCAGCAAGTGCAACAAGGTCAGGTACCTATGAGGAAATCATCTCTAGGCTCCCCTCTCCCTGGATCATCTCCCAACAGTAAGAGAACGAGGCTGCAAGCCCCAGCAGTGCCCTCAACAGTGCAGCTGGCTGCAGACTGGGGATTGGGAGAGTGGCAGGGTGGTCCTGCTATGAAAAGCTTTGGGTCAGGAAATTCAGGAAGGTGGTGGGTGGGATGGTGTTTTCCTGAGGCTTCCTGGCCTCAATTGCCCCTATCATCACTGAATACTGGAACTATCCCTCTCCAGGGCCTGGGCCTTGCAGTCCCTGCAGTGAGGACCAATGAGGGTCCTGTGGAGATTTTCTCCTGTGACCTCACTAACAACAGGTGCAGAGACACTGTCTCTGCTTCTGAAAATAGTTCAGGAAAGGAAGGAAGTGGTCAGATCTAATAACCAGTTTTAGCAAAAACGTTAAGTCTGTCCAAGGCCCTGAGTCAAGCTGCACAAAGATCACAAAATCTAGCTAGAGCAGGTTCTGGAGTCCTCTGGAGTTCTTCAGGAGAAAGGCAGCTTGTGTTCTTTGTACCTCCAAGCAAGTTGCATTTTGGAGGTTTGGTCAGTTTCTCCATATCTGCTTTATAAACACGTTCAGACAGATTGCTGGCTCTGAGGAATGAATTGTACTGGGGTTGTGCAAGCGTTGCCCTGTTAACTCTTTGCATTCATTGCTGAAGAAACATTGCCACATGCGGTTCCCAGATTCACAAAAACAGTTGCATTTAGTAACACAACTCTGTGTGCAGATGCAAAAGCTTCCAGGACAGTGGCTTATGTTTCAATTTTGATGGAGAACACATTAAAATCTTACCAACTCCCAATCATCCATCCACTTGAACCATCAGGGAAAGAGGGCACCCAAAGTGGCCATATGCCAGAAGTTTGGGTCTTCTATTGGAGAATGTCCCTGTCCTCCAAATTCACTGTAAGGTCAGTTCAGAGGCCCTGACATTTTGAATATATGCATGTGTTATACTGGGCCCTAGGCCTAGAGTTTAGGAATAATATTAGGAGGGAGGCGGAGGCAATTCCCCACAGTGATGAGCAAAGCTTTTATTCATTCCTAGAATTAACATTGACAAACATTCCCTCCAGAGTTCACCCTCTGTCTCCCAACCATACCTCTGTGCTGTCAATATGGAGCTCATCTTGATTTTTTAGCATCTTTTCCCTGGGAAGCTCATTTATCGTAGTTTTAATGTGACTGTGAAATATGAGAGAGATTTCACAGCCTCTGCTCTAAAATATTCAGTGTGTAGGCAAATTCAAATTTTAGTGTTAAAAGAAAAAAAAAATGAAAGAACAGCCTAAAGTCATTGCTTAAATTTTACCTGGTGATTTTGATGATTACTTGCAACCTGGCTGAGTGGGGAGGGAAGCCATAGGCTGGTTTAATTCATTTCATGTTTTCAAGCTTTTATTCACAGGCTGGATTTAAGGTAATACATAATTCCAAGTGTCTTTAATTCAGGCAACCAATTATCTTGATTTGTCCAGGACCAAGAAGTCCCCAGGACATGAGACTTCAGTGCTATAAAACTAAGAAGAGCTTAGGCAAACCGGAGGTTGTTTGTTGGTTGCTCTAAATATAACACTGAGATCAGAGGATGTATGCTATTTTATGTTGTTCTTAGGATGCAAAAGCCAAATGGGCAGGTGGTATTGAGGATATATTGTTGATGAATCTATTACTAACCTGTTAATTTAATAGGAGTGTTTGGTGAAGAATAGATTTCATTTGTTCCACACCATTGAAATCTCATCGTTGGCTGGTACTGGTCCTAGTATGAGCAATCTGGGCAGAAGAGAATAGAGCCTTTTTAATGGAGTTTAAATTCTATTGGTGGGGTAGGGAGAGAGCATGCACTCCACCAATAAATAAAAATAATCTTTGGGTGACATTAAAAGCTCTGGGGGAAAATGAACTAGGATGAGGGAGTGATGAAAATACTCAGCTTTCATTTCAATGTTGACAGGATCATTTGCAAAGGTTGGCAGTTGAAAAACCGGGCGGTTATAAGGAAAGAAGGAAAATGATGTGTATCAGCAGAACCCAGTGGCAGGAAACAAAAACCATGGTGGCTATTTTAAGCAAGAAGGCATTGAATAGAGAGAAGCAGGTGTTTAAGTTGCTGGGGGAGGAGAGGGAGCTGGGCCTAGAGTTGTTTCTACCTCTGCCTCTGTCACCACCGGCAAGGTAGGAAAGCAGGAACTGTCATTGGAAACACTGACTCTGAAAATACATTGCTTTTGTGGAGATCTCATCAGAAAGATTTCTGCCTTAACTGTTGCCCGTACCTTAACTGTGTCTCAGCTTCTATGACATCCCAATGTCATTGGCAAGGGCTGCAGCTAAGTCATCAGAAAGATGGCTTCAGCCTCGGTTCTGACTTCCAGATCTGTTATCACAAATGTGTGTGTGTCACCGGATGAACCTAATTCTCAGTCAGAAGCCCATCCGCCAGTAGAATTGGGAAATGTGGTTGTAGACACCCAGCCTGTCTGTGTAGGTGAGGGGATGTGGGAAGGAGGAAGAATGGGTGCTAGGAGCTATTTGTCACACCTAAGAAATAGCTTTGTCAAGAGACCAAAGAAGTAAAAAGTCTAAGGTAAGAATAGCCAGAGACTGGTGCCTTCAACCCCTACCCTGTGCTCTGTGGACAGAGCATCACAGTGGGACCCAAGCAGGCTTTGAAAATCACATGAGCCTGTGTTGAGTACTCACTTAATGGCTAATGACCTGGGGCAGGTAAGTCGTATTTTTGAGAAACAGTTTCTAAATCTACATAACTGGTTATTAA